GTGTGTGTGTGTGTGTGTGTGTGTGTGTGTGTGTGTGTGTGTGTGTGTGTGTGTGTGTGTGTGTGTGTGTGTGTGTGTGTTAAGAACGAAGTAAACATAGAATGATTAGCAGCATTAATAAATCAACCAATTAATAACATAAAATAAGCACGTCCCAAATTAATAACCTGTTGATAGAATCAAATAAATAGATTATAAAATTTAACAATCCGTGAAGTCAATAATCGCTAAGAGTACAAGAATTTCAAATCAAAATCAACTTGTAAACAATAACGTTACTTTTATAGTTACTTTTATAGTTTCTTCTAGAAAAGAGATATTAGGCTCCTTTCTACAAATTTATGCGATAAAGGATACATCTTATCAGAGAATGCTTTCGTACACTGAGATTTATAATAATTTATTAGAGAAAACCCTCCGAAAGGAAATCTCTTATTCCAGATAAGCGTACCGCCGACTCTCCCTCTCCCTCCCTCCCCCCCCCTCTCTCTCTCTTTCTTTGATGCAGCTTATAATGTATATTTTATCTTGGAGAATGTTTATAATAAAAATTTGCTACCACAACTAATAACTTTATTTAATAAAAATGCATAATTTAATGTAATTGTCTGATATTTTATTTTGCTGTAACAAAGGACATTTCCGTTATTTATAAACAGTTTATAATGAGGTTTATTATAATCGACTTACACACGATTCAAAACGAATTGATGGTTCCGGATGAAAAAGTCAAAGTTCAAGGCGAGATTGCTATTATCAATTTTAACTGCCATCTATTCCTCCCTCCAATGAAACGTTACATCAACCGGGTAAATATGTATATTTTAGACAAATGTACATGTATGTACATAGGTATATGTGCAACCGAATTGCTGATTCCGGAATGACGTCCAACTCACACTTTTTAAGAGCGAGGAGCAGAAAGATTATAGTCTTTTCCAAACAGTGTTTATTTGCTATCATATATTTAACACTCTATAATATATATTTCAGGGCCGTTTCAAGCCGGAGTGCAACGGGCACAGTGAACTCGGGCAATTTTTCCATCAAACCAAATGTAACATAGATGTATGTATGTGTAATATTATACGAATATCATGAATGTTAGATGTAATTTGTACGATAAACAACAACATTTGTTACAAACACTAACATTTGTTATAAACTTCTATTTTTCTTATAAAAAGATAAATAACAATACTCAAGAATTGATTATTCAAAAAAGTAAATTCAATTTTTTTTTGTTATAATTTAATTTTCTCTCTCTCTCTCTCTCTCTCTCTCTCTCTCTCTATCTCTGTAAAGCTGAGAAAAACAGAAAATAATATTTAAAAAATATGAAGGAAAAAATTCTATTATTTTCATGAAATTTTGTTTAACTTACTCATGATCAATTATATGCCAATATGACATTTGTATACTTCGGATAATTCTAATCTTTTAATGGCATAGCGAGTTGTTTATTTAAAGCTTCAACCTAACGACTATCGTTGATTATTAAAAGCCTTGACTTAATTGACATAACTTTTATTTGCTTTAATGAATTTTTTTTCCTATCTTCTTCCTTTACTCGAATATTTGATAGAGATAAACGATTTGTGAATCAATTTAAAATTATGTTAGTGTTTTAAGTCTGCTTTTAATGTTATCTGATAAACATAAAGTATGTTTAATAATGGAAATAATTTCGTCAACATACACATATATGTATAAGTACATACATATAGGAGAAGATGATATTATGGCCTGTGTAGATGTAATGGCTTTCTTATAATATCTCCGCTAATATTAGATAGCAAATTCTATAGTAATTATACTTATAAAATTTTTTTCTTGCTGTTACTATCACTGTTATCATAACGCTAATATACTATATATATGCTAATACACAATAGTTAGCATTTATTATAACGCATTTTTACTTTTTAGAAATGTTTTACATTTTTGAAATGTTTTTAAGGTACATTTTAGCATTCAATTACACATACTTCCTCATTCTTCTTAAACTTGAGCGTATTATCACACAAACATATATACAGGGTGTCTGATAATTAATGATAAAACTCTCTCATAGAAGCAAAATGGACTAAACTAATTGTAAGTAGAAAAGTTCTCTACCATTTTGCATTTTTCACATTAGTTAACGAGTTATATTAATTTATGAAAATTTCCAAATTTGCTCAACTTACCGCCAAATGCAAGCGCGCGGCGAGATAAGACCGCCCAAAGAGACACATGTTATTTAACGTCCTAAGTAATAAATGTTTTGTAACTTTGAGTTCAGAATCGATTGGGCAACATTTTGACAAATGTAATTGTCAAGTTTTAAATTTAAATATTGATTGAATTAAAATTAAATCATTAACCAAGTTATTATATAAAATAGAATATTATAATACTATCTTTTCCTCTATATATGTTATATATAGCGGCATCTTTTTTATTTTATTAAAACTTTTAGAGTGTATGTGCTTTGGGGATAAAGTGAATTTTGTTATATTATATTAAAACACGCGTGTATTTTTATTTGTGTTCATGAATCAATACAATTGTGATAAGCGTTACATAACTTGGATGAGCCTGAAAAAGATACATATATATCCTTGTAGGTAAGACTACAGACTTTAACAGGACGAAGATACTCGTACCATACAATCAGGTTAATTAAAAGATTAATTAGCGTCAAGACACTTGAAAATCGAGATAGGAGATGTGCTATAGATTTTGCTCACTAGGCGAAATTTTCTGTAAAATATCAAATTATTGAAGAAACTACGGAATTCCAAAGAATTTTTGAAATTAAAACTCCAGTTTGTGGCTTCTCCCAAGAACACACATTAATTTTGAATATAATTAAGGTAATAAGAATTATGTTTCTGATATCGCAGCCGAGAGAGAGAATTAATTAATTTTCAGTATCGTCTGCAGTATCTTCTTCAGTATCTTTTTCAGTATCTTCTTCAGTATTTTCTTTAACATCTTCTTTCGTCTCCTTTTCTGCTGCCAATTCGTCATCCAGCAACTTTTTTATGTTATCTAAGGCATTCTTAATAGAATCTATTCTATTGTCTCCGATATTCTTCGCTCCGTTTTTTATTTCCTTCCAGAGGTTGTTGGTCATGTCCAAGAGTCCTCCTGCCTGTTGTTTATTTCTTATAATATCGCTGACCGATCTCTTTACCTTACCGGTCTCATCTTTGACATTCTTTATTGCTTCTTCAGTATTTTCTTTAACATCTTCTTTCGTCTCCTTTTCTGCTGCCAATTCGTCATCCAGCAACTTTTTTATGTTATCTAAGGCATTCTTAATAGAATCTATTCTATTGTCTCCGATATTCTTCGCTCCGTTTTTTATTTCCTTCCAGAGGTTGTTGGTCATGTCCAAGAGTCCTCCTGCCTGTTGTTTATTTCTTATAATATCGCTGACCGATCTCTTTACCTTACCGGTCTCATCTTTGACATTCTTTATTGCTTCTTCAGTATTTTCTTTAACATCTCCTTTCGTCTCCTTTTCTGCTGCCAATTCGTCATCCAGCAACTTTTTTATGTTATCTAAGGCATTCTTAATAGAATCTATTCTATTGTCTCCGATATTCTTCGCTCCGTTTTTTATTTCCTTCCAGAGGTTGTTGGTCATGTCCAAGAGTCCTCCTGCCTGTTGTTTATCCCTTATAACATCGCTGACCGATCTCTTTACCTTACCGGTCTCATCTTTGACATTCTTTATTGCTTCTTCAGTATTTTCTTTAACATCTTCTTTCGTCTCCTTTTCTGCTGCCAATTCGTCATCCAGCAACTTTTTTATGTTATCTAAGGCATTCTTAATAGAATCTATTCTATTGTCTCCGATATTCTTCGCTCCGTTTTTTATTTCCTTCCAGAGGTTGTTGGTCATGTCCAAGAGTCCTCCTGCCTGTTGTTTATTTCTTATAATATCGCTGACCGATCTCTTTACCTTACCGGTCTCATCTTTGACATTCTTTATTGCTTCTTCAGTATTTTCTTTAACATCTTCTTTCGTCTCCTTTTCTGCTGCCAATTCGTCATCCAGCAACTTTTTTATGTTATCTAAGGCATTCTTAATAGAATCTATTCTATTGTCTCCGATATTCTTCGCTCCGTTTTTTATTTCCTTCCAGAGGTTGTTGGTCATGTCCAAGAGTCCTCCTGCCTGTTGTTTATTTCTTATAATATCGCTGACCGATCTCTTTACCTTACCGGTCTCATCTTTGACATTCTTTATTGCTTCTTCAGTATTTTCTTTAACATCTCCTTTCGTCTCCTTTTCTGCTGCCAATTCGTCATCCAGCAACTTTTTTATGTTATCTAAGGCATTCTTAATAGAATCTATTCTATTGTCTCCGATATTCTTCGCTCCGTTTTTTATTTCCTTCCAGAGGTTGTTGGTCATGTCCAAGAGTCCTCCTGCCTGTTGTTTATCCCTTATAACATCGCTGACCGATCTCTTTACCTTACCGGCCTCATCGTTCTTTATTGCTTCTTTTAATTCGTCAAAGGATTTATCGAGAATGTTTTTCAACTCTTTCACTTTATCACTCTTCTTCAGGATTTCGTCCAGATTTTCTTTAAATTTCTCGATGATCTCATTGGCATCATCCATAATCTTCTTCGAGCTTCCTGTCAGTTTGTCTTGAACACCGTTCACAATACTTTTGCCTTCCTTTAGGATATTTCCGATTCCGATGCCATAAGATTCACCGTCACTTTGCTTCTTTCTTAATACCTCCGTATTCTCTTTTACCTTTCCTTGAAATGAATCGAGTTTCTCCTGCAGTTTCGGCTTCAATTCCTCCTTAATTAACTTCCCGATGAGAGTATCGTTAATGTTTTGAATTTTATTATTCAGTGCATACTGATAATTTGTCACGATTTCTTCTTCCACATTCTTGAGCTTTTCGAAAACTTGGTTTACATTCTGTCCCTCTTGGAACAGTTTCTTGGCATTTTCTTTAGCTTTCTCGAATATGTTTATGGCAGTCGTTTTCCCTTTCTCGGCCTCATTGACAAGTTGTTCAAAAATTTCAAAAGGTAATTTGTTCTTAAAATCAATTTTGTCTTGCACTTCCTTAGGAATAAGGTCAAGTATTGGTTGTATCTGATCAGAGATTTCCTTGCGCAATTCAAATCCCGTATTTCCAACTTGAGCCGGGATATGAGCCAGGTTATAAGCCTAACAAGCGATTGATAAAAACAAGGTTTAATTATTTTTCAAAGTATGATATATATTTTGTTATTTAAAGTAACCTGATTTTAAGTATAATAAAATTAAGATTATTCTGAAAAAGATGTATTATTTATAATCTCGATTTTAGCATAATTACAATATTCAAAATTTCTGAATCGCAAAACAATTTTTTGCATTTGCGAAACATAACTTACCTGGCTCGTGTAATACAGAGCCGCCAGAACGGTCACTAAAAGAGTAACACGTACCATCACGATTTAAAAGAAATAACTTAGTGACGAGATTGAAGAGATATTGTGCCAAATTCTCTATCAGAGAGAAATCAGCAAATTGTAGTGCGCGGTGACGATTCAACGCTTATATATTAGCCAAAACGTGTTTATTCTGCCTGTTATATTCCAGCTATTATTTGCCAACCGTTATTATATTTAGCTGGTACAGCTGAGCTAATAACTTTATGGTACAGCTGAGCTAATAACTAATAATAGCGTCCTTTCATGTGATAATTAATGCGCATGATAAATGATGAATTGAAACTGTTAATTATTCAACGAAATTATATATACTAAATGTCATAACGCCTGACAATAACAATATTTCTTTGCTCGAAATATTTTATTATAATATATAAAAAGTATGAAAAATATGAATTAATTTTTATATCAAATCATCAATCAGTGATGACAATCTTGCAGATTGTACGATGTACACATAAACAAATACATTTTGTCAACAATTCATTTATCAATTATTCCTCATATGATTTAATTAATGATACAAGTTATATTAAAAACTGTAAATATTAATAGTTTTTATAATATAATCTTTATTCAATATACTCGTATTAATAATTTTCTCGCTACTCTATGTATAAAATTTAATGTATTTGTGTGTTTCAAATTATATATGTATGTCTAAAATCTATTATATATCGTTGTTTTGTCATATTGTGTATATATCATTATATTTACTTTTATATAAATTTATCCGTTTTATTATTATTTGGGCTACGAGATTGGGATAGTCGCTTAGCATATTAGTAATACAGATGACTTTAGGATCTACAACTTGATTGATTTGTTTGTTTCAGATTTAACATTCTATATTCTTCTAAACGAATTGATCGAATTTTAAAAAAGGAAAGAAAACGTAGGAATGTAGAGAATTGAAAGATGACTTTTCTAATGATGTATCATTTGACTCCCTTTCTCATTTGAAATTTTTTAGGGATTGGCATTACCGCTTAGAGGGTTGAAGTTGAAAAAAGAATTATACGCCGAAAGATGTCCTCCTCCCAACGCAAATCAATCTGTTTTTGCATTTTTTTTTCCGGAAAATTATGTTTGTAGAAATTATTCAGTCTGCTTCGTTTTTGATGGACCACTCTGTATACCTATTAAAAACAATATAATTAATCTTATCTCTACTATCTTCTCTTAAAATTAATATTCAACTATTAATCGTAGGTAAGGGTTAGGAATATTTGTTATTTTCTTCAGAACAGATAAAATTAGTAGTCATTTTTATTATAATATTTCTTTAAGTGTTAAAAATTAAAAAAAAAATCTCTTTAAATTTAATATCTCTTAAAATGTTTAAAATTTTATAAGATAAAAAATATTTTAACACGTGTAAAATTAGAAAAGAGTTAAAAAAATGTGTTTTATAAAATAATCAGTTGATGTTAAAAGTCCATTCATTCAAAATTAACTAAATTAAGTTAAAAGTTAGTAACCTTTTTACTTATAACTTTTAACTAATTAACTAATTAACTGCAGTTATTATCCAACCTTGTAAAATACATTTGTCTTTCGTCGTACCGGTATGTACATATTGTATACGCGTTGCATTTATTTGATTTTGATGAAAGTTTTATGTTTTATTGAGCGCGCGTACTAAAAAAAAAATTTTTTATTTAAAACGAATATTTTCTTTAGATCATTAATTGTATATGTTTCACGGCATTTGTGTAAACGTACGCGATAAAGACGATGCTTGCAAATTGCATATAAAGTCTGTTTCTACCGTCGTATATTTCATTAAAAATTGCCGCAAGTATTTCAAAGTGAAAGAAAGTAAAAGAAAACACCTAAATGAATAATACTAAAAATAACAAACACTTTTATGCACGTTAACGTTGAGCTAATGCTACTCTCTCGAATTCGAATATCGAGACGGATAAGTGTAACACTCGCAAAACTAAAGACCCAGGCAACATTATGTTCAAAATGCGGATATAAGATATCTCGAAGGTATCTGAAAGATTGCTTTAAGACATCTTATAATATATCTTAAAGCAATCTTTGAAACGTCTTCAAACCATTTTACGTTCGCATTTTGGATGTACCGTTGTCTGGGTATATAATATTAAAATGAGAAATTGTTGTGAGAAAAAATTAATTCAATCAACGTAAATTCAATCAATTTCAACACATCTTTATTCATGATTGAGACTCCAGCGGTTACAATTCGATTGTTTGGTACGTGTCGGCAATAATGCAGGACTAGTCATGAGATACACAATGATGTTTAAAGACCGTAATGCAAGAGTAGAGGATTGTTAAATTTCCTATAGCACTCGGGATCCCTGAAGTCTTTAGGCAGGAGCTTCCAGATCCGTCCACCGTGGTGGAGAAAAGAGGCACGTATTTTCGGTCTTAGGAAACTGAACGTGATTGGGCTGGTGGCATCGAGTACGCGGCCGAACAGGCTCGATTTGTTCCTCAGGGTGACCGAAATAATGTCGCCCGGCAGTAGGTAGTCATAACCGAGAGCGCTAACTATCTGTTCTCTGGGCAGGACGATGTTAAAACCGCCCGAGGAAATGGCAGAGCTGCTAGCCACGGCAGCCGAGGAGGTCGATGCGGCGGCAGATGCGGCGGCTGATGCGGCGGCTGATGCGGCGGCTGATGAGGCGGCAGCCGATGACGGAACCACGACGGGACGTAAGACTTGCGAACGAATCAGTGGATATTTGATTCTGCGATCAAGGCCCAGATATGGAGACGGTCCGAGCACGGTGCGATCACCTCCCGTGGAAGCGGACGCGCTTGCGGCTGCAGTCGCGGTCGCTGCCGCGGGTGCGACAGTGGACAGGCTCGGTCCGTATCTGCGCCACGGCAGGCTGAATGGCACTCGTCCAACAACAGGGGTCGAGATAACGTTTGCCGCTGAAGAAGCAGCCGCAGCGGAGGCGGCTGCCACGTTGTTCTCCAAAACGCTGGGCACGACTTCCGGTTGAATCAGGGACGCAGTCGGATAGCCTGATACTATCGGTGATACTTCCGCTATCGTCGGTCCAGCGGAAAATACCGGCTGCGTCTCGGCGACGGTGGCGGTGGCGGTAGCGGACGCCGAGGAGCTCGCAATTTCAGTCTCGATAGGAACGACGGGTGCTACCGGTTCTATCACTGGGCTTACTACCGGGCCACTACCAATAGCGACGGAACTCGACGCGCTGGACGTCGTCACTGTGGTGCTCTGTTCAATCGGTCCGTACCCAAAGTTACCACAGAAGGGTGACAAGTACGAGCCGATTCTGGAGAACGCCGAGGGGAAAGAAATGCCTCTTATACCAGTTCTAATTAGATGAGGTACTCCAGACGCGTGGTAACCGTGGTAGAAGCCGCGGAACGAAGATAGGACTTCCGCCAATGATGTCTCATAATCCGGAACAACGACTGAGCTATCACTGGTGGCCGCAGTCGCAGTCGCCGTTGCCGTCGCCGTGGACACCGCAGACGCCGCTGTAGACACGATCGGTTCTGCGACTATCTCCTCCAGCGGAAGTATCGAGCTGAATCTTCCCAAGTGATGCAGCAGGCCCAAACGTAGATGAGAGAACAAATGTACAAGGACGTGACGAACGTGTGTGCGGAAGAGATTGAACCCAAACTGCAGCACTTTGAAGAAGACGTATTTGATCCGGTGAATGGCACCAATAATGCTAGGGAACGGTACGGCATCTTGAATTATGTCGGGCAAAATCAGCAGATGATGGGGTTCTTTGATAACGACGTGGAGAAGATGCGAGGTGTGATGAAACAAGCGGCCAAAAATGTTGCCGGAGACATCCTCATCTATCAATGGCCCCAAGCTAAGCCCGGACCTCAAATTCCGCAAGGCAATCAGGTTGTAGTGCCAAAATTTCCTCAGCTCACAGAAGAACTCGTGCACGATCGTACCCGATAGATGAAAGTGACCGTGTGAGAAAGCCTCGACTTCACAAGAGTGAGCATCCAGATTGACCAGAGGAATGACATCCCACGGATTCGCTCCGACGAGTCCGTTTGATGCGGCTGCGGCTGCGGCTGCGGCTGCGGATGCAACCGCTTGACGCTTCGGCAAATTACTAAACCTCTCAGATTTCGTAGTATTCTGCAAACGAATTAAAGATAAAGACCTTTAAGTCATTTAACCAGCACGTCATTTCCATTTTGTCAAGTTTCCATTTTGAAAATTTTGAAATATATTATGTGACACATTATAATATAATATATATAATACTATATAATAATAATCATCGTAGATTATATATTAACTATATGTATTTTCTGTCCTTTTTTTACTTCAGTCTTCTTTCTCCATTATTTAAATATGAATAAAATATGAATAATTTTGCAAGTTTCTCTCAAATGAGGTTTGCTAAATTTAATAAATTCTACATTGCTGCTGTATATAGTATTGTATATGGTATTGTAATGATAATACACACTTTACCTCTCGCAATTGTTGCAATCTCTCAGCAATGTCCTCTTCATCCGCAAGAATCAATGCTTGAATAAGATCGTGCATACTTCTGTACGAAAATACGTCATCCTGAAAGAAGAGAGAATCGAATTTAGATTTATTTTCATTCTGGCTCATTATTTCATTCTGACCATAAATAAATGATATATTTCATGTTATCATATTATATATCATATTACCTGAGCATCTCCCTCTTCTTCTGCAATATCGTTGTTTGTTTTAGGCTTGATATTCAGTTTCTCCTGCTCCTCACTTTTATTAACGTCCTTTGCCTCTTCTTCGAGCGTTCTTCTCTCATAGATGGATTTTGGCTCTAACGGTTCTTCTTCTAATTCCAAAGGATTATTATTTCTTAGATCGAATACTTCGGCTTCCTTCTCTCTCTTTTCCCGAAGAAATGGTCCAAGTTCACGATCGAAATGCTTAGGGGTATCTAAGTTGTGCTTGGCGTAAGCCGAACTCAGAGATAAAGAGGCCAGAAAGGTGATGGCAAATGCCACGAGGATATTGTTCGTGTTCACCATGATGAGTTTCGATGAGAACTCGATGACACTAGCTATAACAGGCTGCTTCATATACTCTCAGGACTATTATTATCGTGTCCAGATTCGGCACGAAGATCGTGATGGAATCAAAAAACACCGAAGATTGTTGGCCGACAGCGATCGATTAACCAAGATACGTACTGATGCGCGTGAGATTATCCATGATTTCATCAGCGTCTCGCTTTACAATGGAGCACGATTCATCAACATTATTGCTTGAGAGATTGTTAACATGATATTTTTTTACGCAACACATATTTGTACAATAATTCTGAATTCTTTTCTTTTTTTGTCAATGAAATGAAATATATACCAATGTACTTTCTCTAGATATGAATATTTAATATATTGCACACGTGCACGTACACACACGCCTATATTTATATAATACATAATAAATATAAGTATATATTAATATTTATGTGGTAAATGTCAATTTGCGTTTATATTGTACGTATGCAGTGTATTAGAAACCATTAAAAATAATTTATTTAAGAAATTTAAGCAAAATTTTTAGTCAGAAATGTAAATATTGTAAATTACGACTCAATATATAAATACATTGATTTATATGTATAAGCAAACTATCGATCGCCAAATTAGGGTCAAATTCGATCAGAAATTGATGACAAGTCCGGTACGATCTGTGTGTCAGCAATAAATTCGTACTTTGCTAGCAAAGCCTGCATACTTAAGCAGACAGCAAATTGACAGAAAAAACCAAGTAAAGCTTTAATCGGTTTGGGTTTTAATCGTTTTTGCTGTCAATTTGCTATCAAGTTGTCAGTTGCTTTGGTTTAGCCGACAATTTGTCATTATCATGTTACGTCAATAGATTTTATTGTGCATCTGTCATTAATTTGCTGACATTACAACAGAATATAATAGAATTTGCATCAAATTGCTGTTAAATTGCCTTTTTGTCGAAAAAATTTGTGTAGCAAGCATTTGACAAAATTTATTTTTAATCAAACTTAGCTGATTCGATATTTAATGACATAAATATCCATATTGTAAATAAAGAAGAGAAACTAACTAATCGATGAAAATTTGAATATTTTCTACATAAATTGGCTTAGCTTTTGATATCTCGTATAATGTAACGTAGTTTGGTATATTTGTATATACGTACAATGTACATATATGTATATGTCACTAATTATTTGCTTTACATTTATATTATAAATTTGCTTTACATTTAAATAGAGGAGAAGATGGTATTATGGCCATAAGTGTATATATTGTGTGGCCTCCCTTAATATCTCCACTATTATATAGCGAATCTTAATGATTATTTGTGGAATTATTTATTCAATAGCTCGCCGTTACACCATGTGACGCTAATATACCAATAATCAGCACTTATTATAACGCATTTTTACTTTCTAGTATTTCGAAACATTTTTGAGGTACTTTTTAGCATTTAATTACACTTATTTCTTCATTTTTCTTAAACTTGAGCGTATTATATTATCACATAAATATATATGTATTTTTGAAATAAATATATATGTATTATTTGCTAATTAATATTTTATTTGACCGTATATATTTTGAGTTATGCAAATTTAAACAATAGCATGGCATTTTGCTAATGTGGCCATTCATGGATATTGATTATCACGACCTCTTTTTTAAGGTTTTTATATCAAAATAATTATTTGATAATCAATTGTAGCTCTATTGTTAATCTATTGTTTATGTTACGTGTACTATTTTTAGTACTGAGCAGCTTATACATGTATGCAAAAGTTATATAAATGTATATACAAGTACATTTATTTGCATATATTTTAAAATGTTTTACTTTTTTGTTAATTTTGTAACTAAATACTGTTTTCTAAGCAAAACTAATATTTTAAGGCTATTTTTTATGTGGAAAGTCACATTACCACCCATTTTTTTCTTCGAGTCATTATACAATGTCGCCATCTTTTTATTAATAGTATCCTAAGTAATAAATATTTCGTTACTTTGAGTCCAGAATCGATTCAACAACATTTTAACAAATGTAATTGTCAAGTTTTAAACTGAAATATTAATTATCAACAAAATCATTGTGCAAGATGTAACGGAGATGCCACCTTCTCCTCTACTACTATTATCGCTTATTATACTATCTTGCGGAAAAAAATCTGAAAAATTTATAATCTTGATATTATACATATATGTATGTTGCAAGTACTGCAAGTTATAAATAGCGATGTAAGGTTAAACAATTTATGTACATAAGCACGTGTAAGCAAATTTATTTTTATTATAGATAAGGATCAAATCGTATTATGCTGATTACGTCACATAATGAATTTTGCTATTATGTCGATTCGATTCTTTTATTATACCTAATTATATTTTTACCACACGTGTCATGTTAAATTTATAAAATAAAAAAAATTGTGTAAAACCTTTTAGCTATATTTAATACAACAACGTCAAATAATTACAAACTATAAAGGGGTCATAAGAATCGAGCGCGATAAATAGCGCACAATAAACAATTTCTATTTAATAATCATTATTATTATATTCAGTTATAATACATACATAATATAACACATCTTAAATGTTTCGACTCATTTTCGAGCCTTCTTCAGAGAATCCGACAACAATGATAAATATTTTACAACTATTAATTATTTATTGACGCATGTATAATTGCGTTATAATTTGCGTCCGTATACTTTCGATCATTTCTTAATTCTTGAACAATTGCAGAAGAATTCCGTTGAAATGCTACATATGTAGTTCCCAGACGGTTAATCGACCGAATAAAACCGAAATGTTATTTTGATTATGAAATAACCATAAATAAGGGGAACGACTGTAATAATTATAATTGTGATGAAAGTTGCTCTCTCATCATGAGCATTGGAGATGTTATTGTATCTCATATGTGCATCAGTTAATATGATAAAAAGTAATAAATTAATGGTAGATCTTATTCAAATGTTCAAAGTAAAGAAGTGTATAAATCGCAAAAGTTCAAAAGTTTTAGTCAAAAAATTGAAACAAAAATGAATAATTTACAAGACACTACATTCTACAGCTGTACTTACTGACTGATGATTCGAGGATAATATTACAGAGTTAATTTGTCGATAGGGAAACAAGCTTTGTGGAGACCTTCAGTATCTGTTTATAAGTTTAAACATTTTGTTTTGATTAATAAATAAATAAAATTTAAATAAAGAAATTTAAATAAAGAAATCAATCTTTTCATATAATGAGATTCTGCATTTAAAATAATAACGTTTTCCTATTTGAATTCATGGCTCTTATGTACTCTATGATCGGTTATGACTAACCGAATGGATGTGAATATACATTTATATTAAAATTAGTCAAATAAAGCATGGACTTGAAGAAAAACTATATTTATTATTGTTTGTTAAAAAAAAACATTAAAAATTTATGATATTTAAAAAAAACATTAAAAATTGATAATATTTAAAGATTTAAAGATATATAAGACAGATCTCAACCATTTTAAGTTAAAGACAAAAGAAGAAATACATAGAAGATAGGAGAGTAAAAGGATTGTTAAAAATTAGAATTATTTATCTTAAATCTCTCTTTATTTTTTGCTGTCAAATACTATGTATTTCTCACTTGATGAGAGATACCGCGTTATCAGAATTAAGTAATTTCATGTCGTATTACAGCAGCTAGATGTTTCTTGACAGGCGGGGATTAAAATTCTGTCGATTTTACTGGTAAGGCCGGTTAAAAGATTAACAGATTGTGGCGTTGGCACTCTGAAATAAAAATGTTAATTGTTGATAAAATGTTTTTCAGTAAAAAATAATCTGAATTGTGTTATTTGGCAAAGATGCATTACATATTGGCAAAATGATGAAAAGAGAACTAGCAAATTATTATATATATAATAATTGGTAATAATTCCGGATGGATTGTATATATCCATATAATCTGTAATTGTGGTGAAAATGGAATTTTTTCTTTTATAAATGTAGTACAAAAGAGACAAATCTTACGAAGTTGAAGTTGGTGACGATGGCACTTCAAAATCGAAATCGTATCTCCTCGAAATTGGCGCAGACGGAGGTGGTAGAGCCTGAATGTTGTATGCGTAAGATTTCCCTTGAAGAGGATCCGGCGTAATTATTTCCGAGGGTTGTGGCACTTGAGGTACTTGTACAAAAATTGGATATTCCATTCGCGGTTGATAAGGAATCGGATTGGAAGAGATGACTCGATAATTTAATTTCAGTGGTTGATGATCGCAAGATTTAGATGAAATAAATTCCGTCACAGGCTTCGCAGGTTCCTGTAAATTATTTTACGGATACATATTCATTGAATAACAATATTCACTTAAGATTGAAAATTGAAAGATTGAAATTAACCAATCCAAGCAATAAAAGCTAAAATTTCCTTGTTCTTATTGGTCAAATTTAAATCTTCAATCTGAATCTTCAATGTCTGATTCCGGCCTTAGACATGCTTATTATGTAGTAAAATTGAAAAATAGATGTATATATAGATATCGTTATTAAATAATACATAAGGTGGCTAGCATGTCTGAAATGTTGCACGTCATAAGAAATAGAATAATTAATTCTTGATTATTGATAATTCTTTGATGTTTAATAAGTTTAATGATTAAAAGTAATGTACGTTATAATGTGCATCTAAAAAAGATGGATGCTACACTATACTATAAGATGTGTGTGTGTGTGTGTGTGTGTGTGTGTGTGTGTGTGTGTGTGTGTGTGTGTGTGTGTGTGTGTGTGTCATGTGTTATATACCTCAATTGAAACAGGTAGATAACGCGGTGTTTGACATGGCTCGCCGTATGTAACTATTTTAACACCATTGTACGGTAATTTGAAGCCGTAAGAAAACTTTGAATGGAAACAGACGATGATAATGATAAAAAATTGTAATTTGAATACCGCCATCATTGTCATAAGGATTTACAAAATCTAAACTGATATTCCATAGGCCGCGCTCCTGATATAGAAGTGGTTTCGCCGAAGACAAATTCATGAAATATTTCCTGTTTAGGTATAACCACAGCGATAAATCTTTAACAACAAAAATCTTTAATAACAAAATAATAACTTTTCGTTATTACGTGTCCCGTGAGGCTGAGAAATTCAATTGAAAGGTGGAATAAGCACGTACTTTTCTTGGTGCGTGTTCAGGTGCAGGTTTCCTCATTTCCTGTGTAATTTGGATCATCAAATCATCTTACTTACTAGATAATTATCGTTAAAAATGAAAAATGAACGCCACGTATGCTAATTGTGTATTAATAAACTAATACACGTTATGAATTTATAATAAACTATATTATATATACACATTTTATATATATAATATATATATATATATATATATATATATA